TTTTATCTTGTAAAAACAGTTCCAAATCTTCTACAAATAAAGAAAACATAACTGGCGAAATTATCTCCCCTTGTCTTAGACCTATTGAAATATCAAAATAATCAGAATAACTACTAGTATTACAAGACTTTACACACGATTTTACTGACTGGTACATATTTCGTATGATACGTAACATTTTCCCATTCAACCCACTTTTGTAAAGCTTCCACCAAAGAGCATTTCTGTAAATTGAATCAAAGCAACGTTTTAAATTAATAAAACTGCAATATAATCTGTTATTGTCATTAATAAATTTTTGTATGAGAGAGTGTAAAATAAAAACAGCATCAGTAGTAGAACGACCCCTTCTAAAACCAAATTGAGCGTCAGATATGACGTCATTTTCCTCGCATCAGGCATTTATTCGCTGGTTTAAAATACATGTGAATAATTTTCCAAAATTACTTAATAAAGTGATGCCTCGATAATTTTTAACATCACATTTATTTCCCTTTTTATGCAACGGAATTATTATACCTTTTGTCCAAGCGTTCGGAAATACACCGGAGTTGAAAATTTTATTGAATAATTCAGTAATATGTCCAGCTAAAATATCACAACCTTCAATAAAATATTCGTTTAGAAGATTATCTTCGCCGGGGGATTTTCTACATTTCAGTAACGAAATTGCTTTACAAACTTCTTCAAATGTAATATTTCTATCTAAGCAATCAAAATTAAAATTAACATCATCAAAATTATGAGAAGCGATAATTTCTTCCGCTTCAGTATGTGGTATATGATTAACATCAGAAAATATGGATTCAAAATGCAATTTAAAGTCTTCCAAAGGTACATCCGGGCTAACACTGTTTCTATTATTACGAAAGTAACGCCGGAAATCTCTTGGTCTAGATCTTTTAAGTGACTCGAAATCTTGACATCTTTTAAATTCATATTTTCTCTGTTTCGTTTTGACAATGTTTTTATAATTTTGTTTTAATCTACATATTTCTAACCTGTCAACATCTCTGTGTGTATCATTATAAATAACTAATGCATTTCTGTACAATCTTTTTGCTTCTTTACACTAAGAATCAAACCATTTACTGCTATCTTCTACTTCATATTTTTCAATGAATAAGAGAGTCTTCCTGAATTTTAAAGCATTTTAATGAAATCAATAACTAAAAGGTTTAGCTGACACACGCATAAATTAAAACGCACATATTTCTTCAAAAAACAAAAATAACAACAAAATTATGCATATTGTGACAGCTAACAACATTATTTCGTTACGTTAAAAAGATCGTTATTTCTTCCATAGGATGAGATCTTTCTAAGCTTTGTATACTTCATATAATTCATAAGTAAGTGTGTGGGGGTTGTGTGTCAGCTGCAAAAAAATGTTGATCCGTACTTCACTCTATTGGGTTTTTTTTACAAAAAAGAAAAAAAATCTAGTTCCACGAGAGGATTGAAATCAGCACGTTAATGTTAAAAATTGAATATTGTTTAAGACGAAATAAGGGGCATATTACACGCTTAAATAATTAAATAATCCCTTATTAACAAACTCAATTAAACCAATTATGCAATCATATAGATCCGTTGTTTTCATTTCTTCATAGAGATCACCTTTGTTATTTCAAATTTCAACGTGTTACTAGCATCTGAAATATACACTAGATATATAAACATATAGCTATTCTGTCAAAAGATTATGCTTAAGGCAGAGGAAAGAGAAATATTGGGAATGTTGTAACAGCGGGGTTACTAAAATGTATTTCAGGTGACTTATAACGTGATTCATAAATAAAAAAAACAAGCGTGAAGTGTGCTCTACAAACTGACATCCCTCAATAATCAATAAATTATGCAATCACTGTGATCATATTAACGTTTATTGCCACCTGTAATTATTGGAAAGTCGCAAACCATTTACTGCTGAAAGGTATTCATCAATATTGATAAAGCGATTAAAAGGGAACACTTTAAACCAGTGTATAAATAAATCGTTTTTAAACTTAATGACCTTATTTGATATATTCATAGAAAGGAATCAGCTTTTTGATATTATATGATTTGTTTAGGATTGATCATAAACTAGCCAAATGCTTATATTTGTCTTCAAAATATTTTACATTAAAAAAAGGAAATATCTTAAATGTGTTTTGTTAAATTTATCTTTATGAATTGAAATTAAAAAACTAGCAAAAGTGATGACGCATGTTAAAGTCAATGATTCCGGTTCACAATTGGAATGTACGCGGAATATCTTGGACAAACGGGAGTACCACATACTGACGAAAATGTGGTAGGAAGACGAAACCGGCGGTTTTCGTGGACAGGCTATCGGCAATTTTAAGTTTTTAATAAACCGTCGAGCTACACATACCAGCTGTAGTGTGTCCAAAGGCATTTACAAAATAGTTCAACTATTGGGGAGTTCCAGGGAAGGATCTTGAGAAATGTTGTTTTTACAAGTAAGTAAGTGGTCAAGACGTTTGTTTCTTTCATACTTTAAAGGTGCTGGCAATTTACCCGACTAAATGGGTTATATTTTTGGAATTTATTAAGTCATTTGTACTATTGTACTTCTGTACATAATGCGACTACTATGAAAGACATTTTGTCGGCGTTTTTTTCAAAATGTGTTCAATATGTGGTATGCCATAGTGTATTGAACCTTTTTGTCTTTGTTCAGACTGAAAATTACATTAGAACTAATTATATGTTTTACAGCCGAATGTCGTTTGATTTCACCCTGACCTCCGCTAAAATTAACAGTAAAGAAATGAATATAGACAGAATTTTCATTGGTCACACTTAAAAACTAATAGCCTGTTCGATTGATACTTTAGAAGAGCTTCCGTTAAAGGTAGAGGTCTGCTCGATTGCGCGATGGAAAGAAGTATTGGAAAAAAATATAAGTTAGAATAAATATAAAAACACAATAATGTCATTTTCTAGATATTTCTAACAGCTTTTCAATAAATATATGAAATTAAATATGACAGATCGCCTTTTTGATACTTTTGCGTTCGATTGGGTTTCTCTTCTAAGCTGTTCTAGTCATTATATTCTCTTCTCCTACCGGGCATAAGACGATTGAAACGAACTTTCGGCTGATTAACAGTTGCAAAATTCTCCGTGGAATTAGTGTACAGTATCTACTAAATCTTTGTTTTATTATAAATTCCTATTTAAATGAAATTCCATTTTGATTAAAAGTAATATCGTTTAAATCTAAGATGACAATGAATGGGGAAAAACATTGCGGGTAAAAATGATCTGAAATAAAACTATTGAGGACGAAACAAAGTGATCCCTCGGAAGCATTAATCACAACAAAATTACAAGAAAATAGCAGACTCGGTTTGATTGAGTCTGTACATGAGGGAAAATGAATACGTGCAACATCCTCCCCGCCCCCTAGCAACGGCTTGAGCGGTACTCAATTTTCAACACTTAAGAGTGCTGGCATCATTGATCCCGAAGGATTCAATAAAGTGAATTGGTATTTCAAATATTGATGAAAACTTTATATTAAATGTATCATTTGGATATTCTTAAAACTATTTCTTGAACGAAAAAATATTGATCAAGTTCAAAAAGATTTAGTATGAACATTTTGACGATAAATAGTAATATTTTTTCTAGAACAATTCATTATCTCCTATATAAATATATGAAATACTGTATCTTACACTTGCAAACAATATAAATGTTTGTTGTTATGTGTGATACAAAAAAACTATCAACGTGGTTATTTATTTTATTACAGACTTTCAAATACAGACTTATTCACTTAACAATTGAAATATATGTCAAATTGATTTTTAAAAAATGTTAAAAGTTATCAAACAGGTAATCGGTGTAACAATGCATTATTCTACTGACTTATATATTTATTACTTAAAAAGTAATTTTAAAAGTTAAACGCACTCTTCTGAAACAAGATATATCTAATATATTTATTTTTTGCACAACTGAACACATAGTCATGTGATAACTGCATCGATGCATACATTTGTCACTGACCATCGGCGATTAAGTTACAGGTGACATGATAAAATGATTGCATTGTTAGTAAATAGTTAATACGAAATGTAGGGTGGATAACGGGAATTGCGGTTATGGAATAACATGGATTGTAATTATATATACATGTAATGAAATGGACCACGTAAAAACGATACCATTTCAATGGTTTTATCAATAACTTCAACAAAAATGTGATACAGGCTCCCGAAGATTAGTAACAAATGACATAGACACTTACTACAAGATACCTACTCTATGACACTGACAGTAAAAACTAATGCATTTAATATCAAAACAAACTTTTGCATTGAAAAAAGACCTTCAAAAACCAAAGAATACTTAACTATTTCCATTTTACATTAACATATTAAAATAGAATGTGTGTATATTTGAGGAATATCGAGGTAAAAAAGACTAATAGATAGGTACCAATGGCAGATTTGATACGAACAAGTTTGTCTGTAAGAGATAATGGACAATCATCTCTTACGCCCTCGTTCAAGCTTTAACTCCAATCAATTATTGTAAAGGACATAGAATAAATGGATCATCAGCAACATTTCACAGCTACCGCACAACACTTGACACCGGTGGTTACATACTAAATCAACAGTAAGAAGATACCAGCTTTAAAACCAAAATACAACAGCATTATTTACAAAGATCAAAACAGTGTTCATAGGACATCTGCACAATTACTTAAGGCAGTTTTTCCATTCTTTTGCATAGAATATCGTGTCATATTTCTTAGGTTTTTTTGTTCTGCTAACAGATTTTGTTTAGCATTAAAATGAATGGTTTTATATGTGTTCACAACTGATGTGACATTCAAAAGCCTTTCGTTGTTCTATTAGGTACAGGCATAATTTGAGAAGGGTCTTTCTTTTTATTATTTGTTCGACTTTGTATATTGTCTTCAACGCAAGAAAATTGGTATAACATCAGAAAATTATTAACAAACATAGGAAGAGTTATTGCCAGGAATATAACTGCATATATTGCCAAAATTGCTGCAACAAGACGACCGGCTCCAGTTTTATTGCAATATCACCATACCCTACTGTTGTTAGGGTTATTATTGCCCAGTACCAGGCCTCAGGTATAGAGTCTATAGTTTCTCTGTCCTCTATAAAGTAAATCAAACAAGCCGCCGTACTAACCCCAATCATAACCAGTAACACAAGCAATGTCATATCCCGTCCATTTTGACGAATAGAGAATGTAAGTACACGGCTGGCACGTACATTCCTCACAATACGGAATAGCCTCATTACCCGGAAAATTTGTAGATAGTTAATGAATCGTATCCAACTGATGTTATATCTGTGCTCCCTTTCAAAATTGATCACAGTGAGATGGACATAAAAACCTGCAACTGCTAAGATGTCAATAAGATTTGTTATTGATTGAATGAAAATTATAAGGGAAGGACACGTGCCCAATCGGAGTAACAAATCTGTGGTGAAGAAAGCGGCTGTAATCATCTCCAGAACGTCAAATACGAAGTACGGTACCCTCTTTGACGGTAGCGTCACGTTTGTTCTATGTGTTGTTAGTTCCCCATCAACATAAATTTCATGAGTCTGTTCCCATGACAGATTGTCGTCTACTAAATCGTTATTGTCTTTGTAGACAGATTCCGAACAATCAGGGTCGCCTAGTTTAGTCCTGGCTTCTTCAGCATATTGATGGTCTGAGTGTTCAAGGAACTCTAGAAGCTCACACTTACTCAGCTTGCGCTGGAAGGCCGGTACTGTACTAAAACCGAGTGTCATTATACAAACAAGTACCATGGTGAACACCAGAGAGAGGTATATCTGGAAAATATTTAAAAATTATAAAAGGGTATAAAGCTATGTCTAATGGAATATTTCATGAAATGTGTTACAGAAAAACTATGTTGTTTCAATAAGTTTGTGGTCATTTTATTGTAACAGAAAATGTCTCTGTGTCGTTTGCTTTAAAGTATGTTAATGTATATAAACTGTAATATTTCTCAAGTTTCTAACACTAAATTGAATAAATTGATTATCTATAAGCAGCAGATATATATTTTGAAAACGACTTTGAAACCAACTGTCATCAAGTATTAACAAAGATGGCAATGTTATATAAAATTACCAGATACTATCTATATTCTATATATACAAAATCATATTTGATTCTTCAAATTCCGTTCAAAGTTGAACATCGGAAAAAAGAACAAAACAAAAAAGAAACTATTGCGTTATTGTTTGTTATCAAGGGCATGAAATAACATTAAACATTAAATGTGTCGAAACATGTTAAACCTCTGTAGGCATTAAAATTTCATTGAACGTTTTGCCTACTTTTGAATAATTTAGATTAATTATGTTTTGATCAAACATGAATCAGTTTTAAATCATGCTATTGATTTTCGTTACATTTTATATCAATTTTATCAATTTCTGTTATCATTATATCTTTTATGATTTATATTGAAAATGTCTGGTGAACATATACAACCTGGAAATCTTTGTTGCAGCAATAACGAACTAATAGATATTAACAAAATGTAAATTTATATAATATTACAGTTAAAGAATAATTTGTTTAAAAATATTAATTAACATATAATGCTGAAAGCGAATAACAGCATTTTGATATAAGCAATAAACCATTTACTTATAGTGCAATTCATTTAGGTCTGATATTTGAATGTCAATATAATTCAAACTTTTCAGCGTGAAATGTCATTTGTATCTCCAAAGGGAAAAAGTAAATTGTATTGAATGTGAGATATTCATCAGCAAGGCAAAGTCAAACAGTTCATTGGCATAAACATTTAACATATAAATATTAAGGATGGCAGTTTCAGTCTACATATACATTGTAGATGTATTAATTTGAAAAGAAATACAAGTTCAAAACAAATTTCTTCTTGACAGAATACTAGAAACTATTCATTTATTAAAAGATAAAAGGATACATTTAGCAAATTTTATCATCAATTTTATTAAAATCAGCTCCTAATTTAAGCTACGCATTGGGATTTGACGACCACCAATAGGTTGTCACCTTCTTGTGACTTTTAAAACAGCCAATCATTGGCGAGCTGTCACGATTTTGAAAGTGATGAGGTTCTTATTTTGACCGCTGGAAAATCAATACTGAGTAGGTAATGTTCACTATTTCGAGAACAAACATGGAATTTTCAATAAAGCCGGCAGGTACACTTTAAAAACAATCGTGCCCATAAAAAATTTAGTATATTTTTCAAGTTTATTTGAAACATTTTTTTTCTTACAAAATTCAACATATTTTTTTACTTCCACGGACAACGATATTTTGATACTTCGTCATTGTATAACAATCGACAAAGGACAAAAATCGAATAACAGACAGGGAAAAAAAACAAATGAAAAACGGGTGACTGTCAATTCCATGTTACCTTGCAGGACTGGACATAAACGCATTCGCTGGCGATAATTATGAGCAGTACATGCTGATATATTGCACCTATAAAATGGAAGAATCTACTTGATTATTGACGGCAAAATTACACGATAACGCTTGTAGATTATATCATTTGATCACATGGCAATTAAATTTGTTAAAAGGAAAAATAATTGAGGAATAAGTTTGTTTATTTGCAGGAAATATTGGTCTGATTATTCTATTAAATATTGATTGCAACAAGTTATGTTATGTATAAGTTTAACATTCAAATATATAATTGTTTCAGTCCTTGATACATCAAATAATAATTCAGACCTTTTGAACATAGATTGATTCCCTTTCTAATAACATTTTTTTGATGCCTTCAACAAGAGGCATTCGGACACGTTTTGGTATAGTAGCATATTTTGTTGTATTTCCATTTAATTTAAAATCGCACTGAAAATAATAGAATACGCAATCAATACTTCTTGTTAAATATTTCATTCTATGACAAAATTATTTTGTAACTGAAACGGATTACCATGCCATCTCTCTCTCTAATGAAATGTAAAATCAAGGCACCACATGCGTTAATAAAGCCCGTCTATTAAACAATGCACATTTTAAAAAAATGTGTTCTGTATTCATTGTATCCATGTAAAACAGCGCCTTCTTGAATTTTAAAACATTTAATGATATAAATCACTGTTTAGTTGGCACAAGCATAAATTAAAACACATATTTCTTCGGAAAACAAAAATAACAGCACAATCATACATGTTGTGACAGCTAACAACATAATTTCGTTACTTTAAAAAGACTTTTATTGCTTCCGAAGGATAAGCTCTTTTCCAGCTTTGTATACTTTATAAAAGTGTGTGGGTTTGTGTATTCTGCAAAGAAATGTTGATCCGTACTTCAATTTAGTGTTTCTTTTTCTTTTCTAAATCTAGTTCTTCGAGAGGATTTAATTCAGCACGTTTATTAAAAATTGAATATTGCTTATGACGGATCAAGTGGCATATAACACGTTTAAATCATCTCTCATTAAAAGACTCAATCAAATCAAATATGCAATCATACTATCTTTATATTTTCCAAAAGATCACATTTTTCCAAATTTCAATGTGTAACTAGCATCTGACGCAAGAAATATACACTAGATATATAAACATATAGATAAAGCTTCAGGCAGAGAAAAGAGAAACATTGGCAATGATATAACAGCGGGGTAACAAAAATAATGTCAGGTGACTTTCAACGTGATTCAGATAAGAAAAGAAACAAGCGTGAGATAAGTTCTTACTGCCTGTACATACCAACTGAAATCCTTCAATAATCAACTTATACAATCACTGTTGATCATGTTCGCGTTAATTGCCACCTGTAATTATTGGAAATTTTCAAACCATTTATAACTAAAAGGTATTCATAAATATTGATACAGCGATTGAAAGGGAAGACATTAAACCAGTGTATAAATAAATCGTTTTTGAACTTAATGACCTTATTTGATATATTCATAGAAAGGAATCAGCTATTTGATATCATATATGTCTTGTTTAGGATTGATCATAAACTAGCCAAATGTTTATATTTGTCTTCAAAATATTTTATATTAAAAAAAGTAAATATCTTGAATGTGTTTTGTTAAATTTATGTTTATGAACTGAAATTAAGAAACTAACAAAAGTGATGACGCATGTTAAAGTCAATGTTTCCAGTTCACAATTGGAATGTACGCGGAATATCTTGGACAAACGAGAGTACCACATACTGACGAAAATGTGGTAGGAAGACGAAAACGGCGGTTTTCGTGGACAGGCTATCGGCAATTTTAAGTTTTTAATAAACCGGCAAGCTACACATACCAGCTGTAGTGTGTCCAAATGCATTTACAAAATAGTTCAACTATTGGGGAGGTCCAGGGAAAGATCTTGAGAAATGTTGTTTTTACAAGTAAGTAAGTGGTCAAGACGTTTTTTCTTTCATACTTTAAAGGTGCTGGCAATTTACCCGATTAAATGGGTTATAATTTTGGAATTTATTAAGTCATTTGTACTATTGAACTTCTGTACATAATGCGACTACTATCAAGCTTATGAAAGGCATTTTGTCGGAGTTTTTTTCAAAATGTGTTCAATATGTGGTATGCCATAGTGTATTGAACCTTTTTGCCTTTGTTCAGACTGAAAATTACATTAGAACTAATTATATGTTTTACGGCCGAATGTCGTTTGATTAACAGTAAAGAAATGAATATAGACAGAATTTTCATTGGTCATACTTAAAAACTAATAGCCTGTTCGATTGATACTTTAGAAGAGCTTCCGTTAAAGGTAGAGGTCTGCTCATTTGCGCGATGGAAAGAAGTATTGGAAAAAATATAAGTTAGAATAAATATAAAAACACAATAATGTCATTTTCTAGATATTTCTAACAGCTTTTCAATAAATATATGAAATTAAATATGACAGATTGCCTTTTTGATACTTTTGCGTTCGATTGGGTTTCTCTTCTAAGCTGTTCTCTTCTCCTACCTGGCATAAGACGATTGAAACGAACTTTCGGCTAATTAACAGTTTCAAAATTCTCCGTGGAATTAGTGTACAGTATCTACTAAATCTTTGCTTTATTATAAATTCCTATTTAAGTGAAATTCCATTTTGATTAAAAATAATATCGTTTAAATCTAAGATGACAATAAATGGGGAAAAATTGCAGGTAAAAATGATCTGAAATAAAACAATTGAGGACGAACCAAAGTGATCCCTTGGAAGCATTAATCTCAACAAAATTACAAGAAAATAGCAGACTCGGTTTGATTGAGTCTGTACATGAGGGAAAATGAATACGTGCAACATTCTCCCCGCCCCTAGCACCTGCTTGAGCGGTACTCAATTTTCAACACTTAAGAGTGCTTGCATCAATGATCCCGAAGGGTTCAATAAAGTTAATTAATATTTCAAATATTGATGAAAACTATATATTAAATGTATCATTTGGATATTCTTAAATATATTTTTTGAAAGAAAAAATATTGATCAAGTTCAAAAAGATTTATTATGAACTTTTTTATGATAAATAGTAATATTTTTTTCTAGAACAATTAATTATCTCCTATATAAATATATGAAATACTGTATCTCACACTTTCCAACAATATAAATGTTTGTTGTTATGTGTGATACAATAAAACTATCAACGTGGTTATTTATTGTATTACAGAATTTCAATTACAGACTTATTCAAAAGTAATTAAACAAAAATGTCAAAAATTATCAAATAGGTAATAGGTGTAATAATGCATATTCTACTGACTTATATATTTATTACTTACAAAATAATTTAAAAAGTTAAACGCACTCTTCGAAACAAGATATATCTAATA